ATGTATTTAGAGGAGAGCTGGCACAGTAAAAATGAGTTATTTGAAGCCTACAAGGCAAATGCCGCTGAAAATGGTCCTGTGTTAGCCGAACTTATTTTGCCAACACCTTTAAAGAACTGAACTTATCGCTCTTTTCACCGAAAAAAGACCAATGCGACACCTGTGTAGGACATAAAGTAGGCAATGTGCTGCAAGATGAGTGGGAAGACCATGTGTTAAACAAAGATAGAGCAAGGGCTGAGAAGGAGCTTAACAAAAGTCGGGCCTTGAATGGTATCATTAAGTGTTTATGCGTGGATCTGCAGGCTGTAAAGGCCTGCCCATTCACTAGTACAAGCGCCATGTACTACAAAACTAAGTTGTTGAATCATAACTATACCGTTTATGATCTAAGCAGCCACGAAAGCATTTGTTATTGGTTCAATGAAACTGCAGCTGACCTGAGTGCCCCTTACATCTGACTTTTCAAAGACTAGGGCTCGATGACTTTTTTGCACGAAAATATTTTTGTGCAATATTCAAGGCATCTTTTATCCTCCAAAAATTCCCTCTTCATTGTGGTCTTCTTCTAACAATTTCTTATGGTTTTGATGGAATTTTGTAACAAGTCCTAACCCACCCCCCACCCCACAATATGGTACAGAATAAAATAACAATTGACTGTCCACACTAAGAACACGGTTTTACCATGAGGAAAATAAAGTCGAATTTGCTTTTCAGACATTATGATCTCAAATTTAAAATTCTGTGGGAATTTTCCAGAACATTAGTGATAGCAGCTAGCGCAAGAATTGCGCTCGCTGCTACTTACAGTTTCGCGCGAATGCGAAAATGCAGCGAGGAGTGGCCTTGGATGCAGTTGGTCATGATTTATCCGTGAATGGACCGATCGACCTCAGAAAATTAATGGGGCCCAGAATGGTGCAAATAGAGTTCACAGGTTCCCCTTCGACAAACATTGCCGAAAATAAAAGAGGGGAGCTGGTAACCCTGCTGTGGGTGCGACATTTGTCTCATTCTCCTCCGCATGCACATCGCAAAATTCTTGATGCATGCATTGCTCTCTTAATGTTTCCTGCTGCGTGTCAATATTTACGCTCTCATTGTAAATGGAGCATGGAAACCAAAGTAAACTCCACGAAGAATTAGCATGAATACGTCACATCGCGTCGATAAAAGAGCCTTTTCTCCACTTCCACTTGATACCTGGGAAGCATATTGATACGGTTGACCGGTATCATTTAGCAGTGTAATTACGTCCTTGCATTGGCTCTTCTCCTTATAATTATACTATTTGTAAGCTTTTAGACAGAAATATACGTAATTTGCTTAAAATAAAAAGGTGATTTCTATAACAGACAACGAATTTAATTGTTTTTACTTTAAATTAAATGACACACTGGGGAAAAAAACACATTGGATCTAGAGTCCTGACACTTGAAAACATTGACAAGAAAAAATACTCTTGATTCAATTGGATTTTTGCTTGAATCAAAACGAAATCCGCTTAAATTAAGAGGCTTGGTTCTTGATTTAAGCTAGATTCTGATTGAATCAAGAGTACTTTTTCTTGTCGATGTTTTTAAGAGTCTGGACTCTAGATCCAATGCGTTTTTTTTCCAGTGCAGTTGAGAGACTTGCAAACGATTTCTCGCATGATCTCCAGAGAAAAACACCAATTGTAAGCTGTAGTAAACGAAGGAATCTGTCCTGCAATATACATTTCGTAAATGAGCGATCAACCTCTGTGTTATGAATGAGAACGGGTCTCGGGTGTAACGGAAAGGAAGCGAGCCGATAAAAGAGTCATCTATCCGCAATTAATGTACTGCTAGCTGCTGTATTCAAACCCAATTGTGATTCTATTTCAAATTAGGGAATTTTTTTCGATCAGATTGGTCAATTACACACATTGGTCAATAAGAAACACAACACAAATCCCGAAAACTTTCATGCCTCAATAAGTTAGTGTAAGATCTCAATGAATCTGTAAGCACGAACGATGAATGTTGGCTGATTCCTTGGTGACATAAAATAAAGAAAATTAGAAAAAACTCGAAATAGTCTTACGACGTTTTGTTTTGGTCACTAATACATGACGCTGGCGAGTTACTTAAAAACTAAATTTATAATTGGATAAGCTCAAATTGGCCAAGGCTCCAAGGTACACAGTAATTAAAAGTTCAACGGATCATGGTATGCACTTTTGTGTGGGTCTGGTGTCTATAGTTAGATGCCATTCTGTGCACCGTCTAGGACATTATAATGCTCATACACTTCCATGTCCCCAACACAAAGTCAATTTGAATCCCTATTAAGGATCTGAATTTCGAATTTATAAGACCTGGAAACAAAATTTATCTTACTCGACACGTTCAGTTGTTACTTCCACTTGTCTAACACATAGACGTCGGCTTGCAAGAAGTTACTTCATCATTCCGTACATGCCCAAGTATTAAATGCTCCTAATTTATCGGTAGCACACTGGAAAAAAACACATTGTATCTAGAGTACAGACTCTTATAAACATCGACAAGAAAAAATACTCTTGATTCAATCAGATGTAAGCTCAAGTCAAGAACAAAGCCTCTTAATTTGAGCGGATTTCCTTTTGATTTAAGCCTCAATCTGATTGAATCAAGAGTCCTTTTTCTTGTCAATGTTTTCAAGAGTCTGGACTCTAGATTCAATGTGTTTTTTTCCGGTGTATACCTGTAGGATCCCTAAAATATTTATAGACTTAAGGACCGCCCCATGGCATTGTTACCTATACTTGATGCGACCGGTAAGTGGTAGCCGTCATCAAAAGACCTACGAAATGTGTTGAGAGCTCTCCCCGTTTTGGAATGACCGATCTCATTCCGATTTTTTTGGCTGTCCCTGGAGTTCATCATTCTTCACTCTTGCTTCCGATCTAGTCATGACCAGTGGCGTGGCGTGAATTTCGAGGTATCGATTGTTATGCCATTTAAACCTATGGTAAAGAATCGATTATTAAGGTGTTCGCTGCAAACACCCTATTCATCGATCCTTTTCCATAGGTTTGAATGGCATAACAATCGATATATCGCAAATCACGCCACGCCACTGGTCATGACCATGACCTCCGGGCTCACGCGGAGGGCGCCTGATTTTCGGTGGGATCCAGAAGGAGCCACTCGGCGATGAACTGGATGAATTTATACTAAAAGGAACTAAGTGCATAGGGTTCACATGTAACATAGTTCCTTTTAGCATAAATACGTCCAACTGATGATGCTGTTATTAGTGCTCGAGCAGGGAACCTCAACCGGGCGCAGGTGTGTTTTGACAGTCGCGCACGAACATAATATCCGGCTAATAAGCCCATAATCACTGCTGCCAATTGAGGTGAGAATAATCCCTGATGATCTCTTTCCTGCAGTTACAGGAACGCGACGTTTCCTATCCCGAGAGGCAACATTGATTTCCTCTAAGTTGCCAAGTCGTCGGAAATTCAGCATGCACCTTAGCCCGTAAAAACTGCACTATAAAAAAAACCTCTTGGACCAATGCAATGCCGTGGTACATTGACGTAAGAGTGCAGTTTCTTGTCGCCGGATTTAAGAGTCTTGAACTCTTGTTCCAAGCGGATTTTGCATGGATTCAATTGGATTTTGCATGGATTCAAGCGGATTTTGCATTGAAACAAGAGTCCAGATTCTTAAATCCGGTGACAAGAAACTGCACTCTTGAACCAAGAGGTTTTTTTTAACAGTGTGACTGAATGGACATGGGACCGTTGAGCATTTGTTTCAATATTTTCTGCACCAAAGAAGTGGATTACAAATTTGACGTACTTCTGCCGAACAGACTATGTGCATTTAGACATGAGCCCTGAGACCCATAAGAATAAGTGCATGACACGGCTCACGTCATAATGCACATAGTTCCGTTTGATAGAAATACGTCCAATTGCGCAGAATAGTTTGGAAGTTCTCTGAGATCTCAAAATGCACACACTCTATCTAGATCACAAAAAACAAGAGGTTCTATGAGGATTTTTTTTTTGTTTCGGGGGAAAGCAGTAGGAATAAGGTAATTACTTTCATTTTTCTACCGACAGGTTTAGATTATTTGTGAGTTTATATATTACACAAAGTGACTATCTGATTAAATCTTAAAAGCAGCTTCTCCGACAGTAGGAAAATGGTTCATTAAATAATATGCAACATACACTGGAAGACAAGATTGTAGTTGTGATTATAAAGGCTCATGTAGCAAATCAGTTGGAAAATCGAACAATTTTATGAAATTAGAACACCAAGGAAGGTGTTGAAAAATTACATGTTTTTCCGATCTTCGAGAGATGCAGTGAGAGGAAAGTTCCTCTTAAATTTCCCGTGACGGGACTTTTCGTTAACAAATCGGAAACCTCTTTGAGGCGACGAGACGTTTCTTTGACATAATAGGAGTGCTCTTTGAAAACATTGGGTTTCTTTTTATTTCAACGATAAATTCCGAAAGCAGGATATTTCACGGTAATCCCCGTTTATTCAACAGGGAATTGTTCTCAGTGTAAGATTTTTTCTCAGAAGGACCTTCCTTTCATCGTTCCTCCCGATGCACTAATTAGAATTTCGTCTAGTCCCTGTTTATAATTTTTAAAAGCCTGTCAGATTTGGACACTGGAAAAGAAAACACATTTGATCTAGAGTCCAGACTCTTAAAAACATCGACAAGAAAAAATACTCTTGATTCAATCAGATTTAAACTTAAATCAAGAACCATGCCTCTTAATTTGAGCGGATTTCCTTTTGAATTAAGCTTAAATCTGATTGAATCAAGAGTCCTTTTTCTTGTTAATGTTTTCAAGAGTCTGGACTCTAGATCCAAAGTGTATTTGTTTTTCCAGTGCTGTTTCTAATTTTGAAAAGCCTGTCAGATTTGGATGCTCGATGGAAAATCTGAGGGAAATTGAAAAATCGTGGCTGATTTGGCAGCGCGTGCGAGGCTCGGTAGCTATAAATTTCGTCTATGGGTCGGTAAATACAAATGTGTTATAAAATTCCACGTCCTCGCGGGCCATTCCCGATTTAGTAGACGAGTGCAAAGCGGGACTGGTTACATCAACAAACACTTCGACATGGAGTTGACGCGGTGTCTATCTATTGTTTTTCTTCTTGTCGCCTTCCAGGTAATCATTGCGATTCATCCGTAACTATTTGCACACAGAGGCAACTCATTCAGAACTATTTACACAAAGCACAGCACTCATTTAGAACTATTTACGCAAAAAGGAAATCATTCACGATTACCTGTTAACCCACAGACGCGATGACGAGGTTACATTCCAAACATTGCAATTCCAACTAAAAAATCTCTCTTTGGTCGATCAAAGAGGCTCTTCAGGTGCACCTTGGGAAAGAAATTTCGTTTTAAGGCGAAGAAATTTGAGGCACTAGCGCGCGCGGGGGGGGGGGGGCGGTGGCATGTTTCACCATTAGTCACAAAATCGGAACTAAAATTGACCAACATTTGCTAAAAATCAAGCCTTAAATTCTTGGATACAAATTGGAACTGTAGTCAATCGTAGTGTTAATGAGAACACGGAGGAGTTTATATTCCGAACTACTGGCTAAATTGACCAAAAGATTAAGACGTTCAATAATACGCGGTTAAAAATTTAGACACGGTTTGCCAAAACGACAGGGAACAATGTTAAATCGCAGTACTAATCAATTGGTGCCAATTTTTGACTACTTGACGCCAAGTCATAACAAACACCAATTTGAAAGGGCGGCTGCGCATAAACTGCACAATGTGACCATATTAAATATTAATTTATCTTCAAACATTCCTAGTGCCTATTTACCTTCTTCCTTAAATTTGTTGGTCTTTTTCGATTTCAAAACGCTCTGAGGATTCTTCAATACTGGGGGGGGGGGGGGGATTTTAAATTTTTGCCCAAAAATGTAGTTTTTACGGTGGATTTTTCAGCCCCGAAGTAAGAAGATCCCCTTCTTACAAACATGCAAGACACTTTTACAGCGCGCCTGGACGCTCTGCGACATCTAAACACCATACTCAATCCCCTTCTTTCCGCACGTATAAGCATGCAAAGCTCCTTTCAATGCAATGCTCTTTTCAAGAGCAAACTCGTTTGCTTACTTATCCAGAGACTTTCCCATTATTCTTTTTGCTCCATTAAGTTTGCTCTGGGTTAAGTTGCCTGGTGAACAAAGTGTCATTATCTAGTGCTTAGAAGGGAAGTATATCTGTAAAATTTAGAATATGAATTAAGGTTATACGTCTTCAGTTTCGTCATTTATCCATCCGAATGTTTCCAGCATTTTGCAAAATTTACATTCACACGCAAAAAACCTAACAGAACTGAAATCGTTTGTAATCCAGACATGTGTCCTGTCCGCACACATTGAAACTTCCATCGTTCCCTCCATTTCAAATTTTACAAAATATATACATTAAAAGGGATGTGAGTCTATACCTACTTAGCAAGTTCCCGAAGAAGCAAAAATTATTTTTTTAAAACTCTTAGAACCTAATACAATATTTTAAACAACAAAAATTTACCCGCTCCATGAATTCAGATCCCTGCTTTTTTGCTTTAAGATTCCTAAGAATCTTTGGTGTTAACACCGAATGACCCATTAAAAATGTACCCTTAGAGACTTATTAAGATGCTTGGCGGCCAGATTTTATGTTACAGCCATTGGCTCTTCATAATTTAGGAAAATTTCTTTTCCGTGACTTTTCTTTCCTTTCATGGAGCGACGGACAAATTAATCAGTGGCAAATTTTCGCTCAAAATTTAGTGAGACGATTATGATGCGCCGCTACGCTACTAATGTGGTGATTAAGTCTGTACTAACAAGATAATGGACTCAGCAACAGCTGTGTGCAAAGATACATATTATGATCGGTGCATTTGCAGATTGATGGCTGCACTACAACGCCGCCAACGAGTGTGATAAATCGGAACGCGTGTGCCGAGATACGACCCATATATATTTTCCAAGGTCACAGGATGTATGATTCAGTTGATACAGGATCTACTCACAAAAAAGAGCACCTTCCTGCGATGTCCCCTGATGAAATTAGGTATAATTTTGCGCGACCATGTTGGTAGAATGTTACTCTCAGTGTATCGAGTAAAACAATTAAAACATCTTTCACGAAGGTCGAGGGTGTCTAGGAGTGTCAAAAGGCTCGATTATAACCACCAATCAGGCATCATATCATGATAAAAGATTCAGTTGAGCAATAATGGAGAGAGATGGAAAAATACAACGGTGTGTAAACTTGGATGAAAGAGAAATTTGATGAATTCTTGGAAAGCATGTTTTCGACATTTCTGAACAAGGGTGTGCAAAACCTGCCTTTTTCACGTCAAAATTAAAGAGATCAAAGAAACCGCGTTTTATGTAAATAAAATTATGAAGATTATTACTTGGCATTACTTTACATACTGCTCGCAAAAGTTTATTTGCCTACTTTTATAAAAGAAGGAAAATCAATTCACTTGCCAAAATATATCAGAGCCCGGTCCAAAATTAGCGCGTTCTCATTGGTTTGCTCGATTTTCTGTGAGATAAGTCCTCCCGCTCCCCCTTTCTTGGAGTCAGAACATCGGACATCCCTATAAACACGGAGAAAATAAAGCATGGTTCTATCATTCTCGCATCTCAACCCTTTCTTAAAATAGAAAACACTCTCCGAATAACAAATTTTACAGTCGTTCAAACAAATCCGTGATTACACCCCATTCCCACAGTACGTTGCTCCTTTGGCGTGAGGGTGTACCTATCTTGTTTTCCACGTGAGCCTTAGAAGGTATGGAGATATAAAGACAACAGGGCCCACGTAGTAATAGAGATACACCGTTACGTCAGAGAAGCGACGAGTGGATTCAAACCTTCAAAAGGCAAAATCGCCACCTTCCGGCCAAAATATCACAAGCACCATGCGACGTTTCAAAATTTCCACCGCCATTTCATTTTTTTCAGAGAAAACGGTAGTTGAATCCGCTTGAAAATTTCACTGAATTTTATCAACAGAACAAAGAGAATGCAGTGAAAATTTCGCACAGCTTCGTTGAATAATTACCCTGCAAAAAAAACTAAAATATCTGCGGAAATTTTGAAACGTCGCATGGTGCTTGTGATACTTTGGCCGGAAGGTGACGGAATATGCCATCTTACGCTCGAGAGGGGGAAGAATCTTGAGCGTTTCGTTCGAGCGAAAAGGCCGCTATTCAAAATTAGAAAAGTTCGTTCCGGTATATGCCATTGTCACCTTTGAGAAACGGTAACGATAAAGCACAAAAACATAGCCCGAAATTACGAATAAAGAATAAGGAGAGAACTAAAATATGGGTAAACAAGGCTAAAACATTAAAAACACTAAAAGGCAGGACGTTTCGAGTGGTTACGTGATAACGGCTGGGGTCGGGTCGCCACTCAATTTTTTACTTGTTTTTATGTGTTTTTGCGACTGAAAATTAGCTGGTAACAGCTCGAAACGTCCTGCCTTTTAGTGTTTTTAATGTTTTAGCCTCGTATACCCATATTTTAATTCTATCCTAATTCTTTGTTAGAAACAGTAACTTCATATCCATCCGAAGACAAAAAGATAAAGTTATAACAACAATCAACACTCCAATAACTCGCGGTGAGCACATGAGCCGGCATCTATTCGAGGGAGATTTTTTCGGAGGAGCCTCCCAATTATTATGCTATGGCACGATTGATTCTCGATGAGTTTCCGTGTTTTGCTACGTCAGAAGACTCTGCGGCGGAAGGGAGATTTGCACGGATGCCATGGTAACAAAGCTGATGCGAGGTCCCATCACAGACTATTAAAAGATTTTCTCGTAATTCAAGATATTTAACTTTTGTAACTTTACAGTACAGAGAAAATACAATCAATTCACACATCAAATCATTTTTACTTCATCCGACTTCCAACGATAGTAGTTCGATCCGTCACGGGTTTAAATGTTCGTCAATTAATATTTAACGGCCAAATTGTAAGACCATGGATCTGCATTTGTAACAGTCATACTTCATTATTTCTTTGGAAAACGATACGACATAATTTCTTTGAATCTTCAGCTTGATGTTTCCTCTCTGTTAGGAAAATAGTCTATTAAAATTTCAAGCCATGAAGTTGGCTTATTTCTCTTCAGAAGAATAAAATAGGAGCGGAAAGTTTGAAACACCGCAATGAAGGTTCGTGGTTTCGCACTTGAGCCATGTATATTTGAGCGAGTTATAAAAATGAATGCGCGCTAGCGCCTACAAGACTGAATGGATACTTCTCGCATTGCGCGTACACCACGGAGGATACTTCACGCATTACGCGTACATCACGGTTCGTACGTTCAATGCGTGAAGTATCCATGCAGTCTTGTAGGCGCTAACCCGTGTTTTGAGCTGGCCGCACGGTTGAGTTCGACTCAAATATTCGAACTCGCGGAGTCAGCGTTTTTCAACTCATGGTTTTGAAATGTCTGCACACTCGGTACGGATAATTGCCACTTCAAATCTTAAAAAATGATGCGCTAAAGGAAAATATACTGTGCGTTCTACAAATATTACAGTGGTTTCGTGCCAAGTTTATTGGTTGTCAAAACACATAATTTTTTCCCTTCTATATTGTGTGCTGTTTACTGCAACAAATAATTAAGTCACTCATAAGAATTCATATCTAAGGTTATTTTCACAGCTGAATTTTATTCGTGGTGAAAGCTCTACACCATTCTTATAGCTTAAATACGATTATCGTCCCAAGAGACAGGCTCGGTAGATTTATCAGCCTCCTTTTTATGAGGAAAGAGTAGGCACTGAGCTTAAATAATTGGTAGTTGGTACAAAATGCGAGACATCCAGCTTCCTTTTAATGAGGAAAGAGTTAGCATTAAGCTCAAATAATTGGTAGTTTGTACAAAATTCGAGATATCCAGCCTCCTTTTTATGAGGAAAGAGTTCGCACTGAGCTCAAATAATTGGTAGTTTGTACAAAATTCGAGATATTTTTGTACACTGGGGGGTACGCCTCCTGACTGCTTCGCGGTCTAACCCCCGAAGCGCCTCGCGCGTTATGCGTTACTCACATGAGCTCACGTTATAAAGTAAGATTTGTATTTAAATATAAGAATCACACAAATATCCATTATCGTACTCCTATCAACTTAGTCGTAGTTTCATTGATTGCACGGAAGAACTCTCCACAACCCCGAAAGAACGGCGACTGAACTTGTGGAAAAATTCAGTACCACACTCGAAGATAGAACCACTAGAGGAGGGATCTCTTGGCCTTAACCTGACCTTCGGGACGTGGAAGTCTCTTAATCGGTTACGAACAGCTGTAACACGGTGTAAATCAAACTTGCTGAGGTGGGGTTTCGCTGAGAACGAACTATGCGAGTGTGGAGCAAAGCAAGACTACAACCACCTTCTAATCTGCCCTAACATGACTAAAACCTGCACAAGGGACGATATTTTTAGTGTAAATGACGAAGCAATCTATGTTGCAAATTATTGGTCAGGGAAAATCTAATTTAATCTTATTGGTGCTATCGGACACGGAAGAAGAAGAATCAACTTAGTCTAAAATCCGAGTCTCATCCTCAGGAGTAGCTTTCTATCTATCGAAAGTCGGAAAAACTCCCAAACTCCCATGAACTTCAAAATAATTGATGTAGTAGTAACAACTTGTGCAAAGAGGTGCTAGACATTTTAGATTGGAATTATACAGTCATATTCTTGTGATTAATTAAATAGTTCCAGTCAATTTGGGAATATTAGAATGGAGTTACATTATTTTGTTTAAAAAACGAAAATATGATTGCGGCTACTTAATTTCTTTTATTTTATACTACTACTGCTTTTATGTATTTATTTTTTTTTGCAGCATTCTTAGGCCGAGTTCATCGGGAAGGAACCATCGGAAAGGTCTGACATCTGAAACTTCAGTTCTCACATCTGAAGTACTTCAGATGTGAGAACCGAAGTTTTTCGGATGTGAAAACCGAAGTACTTCAGATGTAAGAACTGAAGTTTCAGATGTGTGATCCGAACCTCGCCAGCTAGACCTTAAGTGTTCGGATGCTCAAACTGAAAACTTCAGAGATCCATATGACCTGAACTTCGGATCCCACGCACGAGGTTTTTTCTCCATGTACGTGTTAAATTAAGATACATATTTCTTTTGTTTGCAGTGCTTGCTGACCAATGCGGCCCCCTCGAACAAGGTGCGTCGTGCTGTGGTCACGGTCGTGAACCCGCCGACAGTTGACGTCACCGCCGCCATCTCCGCCAACCTCCCCAACATGCCCTCCGTGTCCGACATCGGTCACAAGTTCTTCGACATGCTCCCCAGCATGCCCTCCCTCCCGGACATAAAACTGCCGTCCCTCCCATCACTACCCTCACTCAATCTACCCTCACTTCCGAGTTTGCCCGACGTGAACACCAAAGTGATAACGGAGGCGGCCAAGGCATACGTCAACACGGCGGTGGCCAAGGGAAAGGACGCCTACAACTCGGCTTCGACAAAGGCGGCTGATGCGTACGATGCGGCTAAGGTTAAGGCAGCTGACGCATACGATTCGGCTAAGGTTAAAGCCGCTGATGTCTACGATTCGGCCAAGCATAGGGCGGCTGATGCGTACGGAGTTGCTAAAGAAAAGGCGGGAAATGCCTACAATACGGCTTCGGCTATAGCTGCCGATGCGTACAACAGAGTGCCGCCACTGCCCAAGACAGGAACCGTTGAGGTCATTGTCCCCGCGTAATAGTGTACAATCGACGTTGCTCAATAAAAAGTTACTTCAGACTGTTGTATTCATTGTTATTGATGATAAGTGAGATATGGGCGGAAGAGGAAAGATAGAAATCTACTCGGCTCACCCCAACAATGAGGGAGATGTTACTGAATAAATTTATGACGAAGTATCTCCCATCTGCGATAGTATATTTCAAAATCAATATTGTCCGGGGAGAGCCTCTGAGGATCTCCCCTCAAACCTACCTTTGGAAGCTGAAGGATCTCATGGAATTTTTTCTGTGCCCTCAATCCCCCCTTACTACTCTCTGCCCCTCTTCTTCCCCCTTTATACTTTTCTGCTCGCCTTCGAAAGATTCCAAATTCCGCCCATGTAACCACAGGCTTGAATCCTAGACCCACTGTAAGACTGACCTTACAAAATAGCAACGATATTATACCTATGTTTGAAATTTTCATCCCATGTTTTTTCATTCTTTTCTAAGTAAACGAAGAGAATTTTCTCATTTGAAAGATTGGAAATAGAAAAAGGGGGAAACCGCAGAGAACATTTTCAGTACTTACACTTCTGTTTCTTTCAGCATATTAAATCAAACTGGCCATCGTACATGTTTTATTTATTTCAATCAAAATTTCAACCATTCCAATCAAGTGTGCCATACCGAGGATGACCAAAGAACGCAATAACCGAAGAGACTGAGGATCTCAAGAACTCAATTAATTAGTATTAAGATATATAATAGGCTTGAATCAATTTTAAAATGTAAATTAGGATCTTTATATTTAACATGTTAACACAGGCCTTCGGGTGAAATCCTGTCCCATTTCATTCCACTTTGTCAAATAACAAAAATAAATAATTGGTTTATTTAAAAAAAAAAAAAAAAAAAAAAAAAAAAAAAAACAAGTGTGCCAAATATACCCCGTACTTTGACGAAAACACGAATACGAACCACGTCAAAAACGGGGTTTCACCCAAAACTAAGTTTCCCTATTTTATTTCTCAAAATGCATCGTAGATAAAGCCAATTTGTAAAAAGGTTTTTGTGACCAATACTTTCAGCTTTTCAACGAGCTAGAGTTTTTTTTTTTTTTTAAATTTGGTTCACAAGTTGCTGAGGTATTTAACTTTTTCCAAGTCGTCCACCTCTCTTCGCCGCGGGTCCGATTTGAATCACTCCTGAATAGACACATTAAGGGCAACAGTTACACGATCAAATTGATGGCTCAATTTGATCGTGTGACTGGACCTTTACTAGAATCCTCCGATGTTTGGGTCTGCTATTGCTAATGTTCTAGCCTCTCAATGCGGTAATTTTTCTGATGAAAGGAGATTATAGACGAAATTCTTGCCCATATTATCATGATTGGCAAATTCACTTGCATCTCGGTTGCAATCAAACCACGTTGTTTGCATGTGAAATTTAATCATGACGTTACCACTGCTCAAAAATTACCAATTTTAAATGTTATCATCGTTGCTTTGAAGTGCATTACAGCTAAGCTCTGGAATCGGATCCACGGCGACGCGTGAAAATAGGACCCACGGTGTGGGCTCAGAAAAAGTTAAAGACTTCAAGAACTTCAGCAAGTTGGAAAGCCGATAATATGGCTCAGAAACTGTTCCACAGATTTGCTTTACTTAGGAATTTGTTTTTTTTTTTTAGAAATAAAGTGGGGAAACTTAGTTTGGGTATCCTTACGTAAAACCAGTCGGCACTGTTCTGTTACACAGAATAAACTCACTTCCTATTGATTGATCAATCCTATGTCAGAGAAAATATTAAACGTCTCTTTAGGATTGGAATTTCCGAGTGAAATCAACTTTGGAAAAAAGTTTGATAATTGGATTTAAAAAGAAGGCGACTAGGAAGGCGTCAAAATGCTCAGATGCAATTTTCCTCGCAATATGTTTAGGTGATTTTCAGTACCGTATTTGGAAGTTAATTTTCACGCTTTTTTTGCGATGTGTGAGCAGATGATCATATATTTCAGCTCTATAAAATAAGACTCTAGAAAAGCCAAAATAGCTCCTAGTTTTTTGATTCGCTAGAAAAAAGGCCTTCGATACGTGTTCTTATCTAATATTTGAGCACTATTATAGCTGGAGGTAATTAGGAGGCGGGATTAAGTAAGTTTTAGGAAGAAGAGCATTCAAATTTGTTCCCGTTTTCCAGACAAAGGAACGTTACTCCATTCGAAGATTGTAAAATTGAATCAAACAATATAATTTTTCCCAAAAACATGACTAAGCAATTCCTTACCGAAATGTGTTGTTTAATCGGAGGAAATATCATTTAAATTTTCAGACGGAGGTTCCCGCCAAAATCCTATTAAAATATAATTTACCAGTGGAAATTTTGAATTTTAACTATGCTTTCTCGTCAGGAAAAAAATGAAATTTCTCACTGAGTTTTCACATGAAATAACATACTCCCGTCTTTCAATCATCAGGACTGTAAAATGCTCAAAATATAGAATGGAACGTGTATTAAAAATTATACCCAGAAGCCATGCATCTCAAAGTTTCTACTTCTAAATCAGTGGGGTAAGTCAATTTGAAGTATCTTGGAAATATGATCATCCATATGTTTACTCTCTCCATACGGAGGCTGTGGAAATTAAAGAGCTTGAAGCAAAAACGGCTTTTTTCGCCCCCCCCCCCTCTGGAAGTTCTTCAGACTTTGTCTATTGATTACTCATACTTGAGCGCTTCTTTTCCCAAATTTTCAGACCCCCAAAAAATTTTGGGGGGGAGCTAGGGGGGGTGGAAGTCAAAACCTGTGAACCTCGATATCTCTTGAACAAAGAAAGATATCGAAGTCCGGTTTGGACAAAAAATCGTCTAAAATTGCATACTTTAAGATTCTAAAGGTCGAAATCCCGATATCACATTTTTAAGTCAACATATGTGCTTTTTTCCAGTTTTTAGATCTAGAAAATTTCTTTTAAACGAAAAATTTACAAAGATCTCAATTTTTTATTTGAACCAAAACCAGTTTTTTTAAATTGTTCGTCTTTTTCCGCATCCAACGAGTGGTCCATTAAGCTGGGGAACCAAACGGTTCCGGAGTTATGATCGATTGAAGTTTNCCAAGAACAAAACTATACTGAAAACGGGAATGGAGTACGGAAATATAGCGGTAGGATTTCCATTCGCACTCTTTGAGAACCTTGAAGTGTAGTGGAAATATTTAAGCCCAGCAAGCTAATCAACTATGCGCCCACTTTTGTGGCTTCAAATCTCCAATCTCCATGTAGAATACGTGCATACATAAGTAAAGCACGATCGTGATTTTGCAAACTTTAGAGAGAAAAAGAGGAAGCTGAAGGTCGAGTCGCAAAATTTCAAGGAGGCGCGAAAATTTGATCAATGATGACGTGTTCGTTTAAAAAAAGCAGCTCAAACGGAATTTTTTTTATGCTTCTTAGTGTAATTTTTGGCTGTAGTCACTCAATTAGCTGAGTGAAAGGGTTTGAATTGAAACTTGTCTTCCTCCCTGTTATTCTTAAAATTTTGCTCAGAATACTGTTCACACGGCAAAAATCATACAAATGATCTACATATAAGCCAAGAATGAACGCGCTGAAATTCAAAATATGAAGATCTGAAAGCTATCTCGCGATTCCAGGTAGACATCTGCACGCCAGAAGCGACATGACACACCGTAATTTTCAACCTTGTTCTCGGCGAGCAAACTATAAAATGTAAGTCTGTCTCTATCACATCATGGAAAAATCCAAATGAGGCCTGGTGAGATTGAGTTGAGTACTCACCAATTTACTTTTTTGCTGGCTTAATGGAAATTCACCCAGCGTAAACCAGAAAAACGACGACGATAAAAATGCTAACGCTATTCTTAAACAGGTCATGTATACATTTTGTAGAAATATGAGAAATTTTTTGACAGTAAAAAACTCAATCGAGATTTCTTTAGCTCAGAAATATCTTGCATGCATCTGTCTGTGCATACGTCTGAGAGGAAACATCACAATAATTGTGATTTGGTGAGTATGGAATGAGCCGCATTGTAATTATTACAATGCGGCTCATTCCATACTCACCAAATCATTACCGGGACAGTTGTCTATCTAAGAATGTCAAGCCTGCGGCTATGTCTATTTAGAATTATAGCTTAATTTGCATCATACTCTTCCAAGAAACGATAAAATGCACAATTTGAGGAGAGAGAAAGGGAGGAAGCATTAAACTGCACAATGACACTCATTTTTTGATAGATCCATGGAGCGACGTGTCTAATTGATGAAATTATTTGAACGGATTGCATAATAAATAGTTAAAAAATTTAGTGTATGTGTCAAAAATGAGGTGTCAAAAGTATTACTCATATACTCAATTGCAATTGCTACTCGTTGCTAGAGGTTACTTTACTTCTTCTTCGTCTCCTTGCTTTTAATCTAAATAATGCAAAATCGATGGAGCGATGAAAGAGACATCAGGCTGTGCGTAACCAGAAAACTGTTTGCCGCAATGAAATGCCTTTCCTTTTCAAGGACTCAAAAAAGTAGGAACGAGTTCCTAAATAAAAAAAAATATATAACCCCAGTCGACCACTTGAATGATATAAAATTAAATTCTCTTTCAAGTAACTTTTCTTTTAATTTGAGGCAATACGTAATATGCTACTCACTTTATTCGAATTTAAGACTTGCTTTTAAAACCGCAGCAGAGAGCCTTTAAGAGTCTTTATGCAGAAGTAACCCATTCAACTAATTTTTTCAAGCAAATAGGTGAGTTTGGTCCGTTTCATTTGAAAAGGACCCATCTATAGCATACCTATATTCTTTCCCCTCTTCATCCAGCTGGGCAGGTGTCAATTTTTTCTTACGGCCACAGTTTTTGCAAAAAAGACCTTATTCGTTTTTCGTCAAAATTAGAAGAAAATGTATGATCACAACCTAACTGGAGTCAAAGTAAGGGAGCTTTGTTATACACCTCATGCCAATCGTCAAGAGAAGGGACATCAACGACATGCGACAAAATCTACTCTTGCATGCGTTATATTGCCTATTCAAACAAATGAAGGCATTTCATTTTGCAGTGCGATGCCATATGCGATGAGTCAATTGAGTCACTCACTTGCTCCATAATACTAAAAGCAGACAAATGAATTTAAAACTTCGGTGACAAATCCAACAATAAATGTAAACAGAGAATCATCATTTGAGTCTGATGTGCCTGAATGATGATACAGTGAAAACATTGCAATAATTTGTATGATAATTTTTTGAAGATGGATACGCATCGTTATTGCGTTTACTTTGAACGTTAATAATTTCAGAGCAAATTGGTTTAGATAAGCTCCTCAGAGCTAACGTGGAGGCCGCTGGTCAGTGCAAATCTAACTAAATTAACCATTATTGAGAATAAAATAAGGAGTTAAAAAAATGATCTGAGCGACTCGAGTGCGACCATCGGCTTTTTACTTTTGAAATAATGGATTGGTCAGTGGTCACCAACCAGTCCAATGCGCATACGATTAGTTAAAAGTCGTTTATTAGTGCAGAACTGACGGAAATCACTGTGATGACCAGACAAATGAATGAGATGTCTTACTGGGGTCCCACCGGCGCACGGTGGATCGAGTCATAGGGCAGGCCGGACATGGCACATCACGCGACTTGGTTTGCTCATTTACGTAGTGTTTGCGCTCATAAAACAAATCAGGATATATGTTTCTTATGTATTTTTCGTCGCAGATTTCATTTTTGATGACTATTTTCCTGATTATTGGGTTTAGATATGTATTTTGGCACAATTTCAGATAAATAAAGAGATATTGTTTAACAACAGATAAGTTTAAACTTTCTACACTCATTTCAATCGAAGTTTTAAGTGTTCAATGAACTTTTCTCTCCGGTAAAATGTTTAAATATCGTATATAAAACGTATATTACTCATCTCTTTTACCATTTCCCCTCCTCTCCCCCAAAAAATGAATTGATAGAAATCCGAAAATGTTGAGAGGAAAACAGAGGATCTCCTTTCCCCTTCATTCCTGGGGCACCTTTTNTCAATCATGATTTCTTTATCTCCGAAATATCTTGCATGCATTTGTCTGTGCATGCGTCTGAGAGGAAACATCACAATTACAATGCGGCTCATTCCATCCTCACCAAATCATTGCCACGACGGATGTCTATCTAAGAATGTCAAGCCTGCGGCTATGCGTCCATTTAGAATTATAGCTTAATTTGCATCATACTCTTCCAAGAAACGATAAAATGCACAAGTTGAGGAAAGGGAGAGGGCGGGAGCATTGAACTGCACAATCACACTCATTTTTTGATAGATCCATGGAGCGACTTGTCTAATTGATGAAATTATTTGAACGGATTGCATGATAAATAGTTAAACAATTTAGTGTACGTGTCAAAAATGGGGTGTCACGCGTATTACTCATATACATATCTGTATACTACATACTCAATTTCAATTGCTACTCATTGCTAGGGGTTACTTCACTTCTTCTTCGTCTCCTTGCCTTTTCATATACATTTCTGTATACTACATACTCAATTGCAATTGCTACTCATTGCTAGAGGTTACTTCACTTCTTCTTCGTCTCCTTGCCTTTAGTCTAAATAATGCAAAATCGATGGAGCGATGAGAGAGACGTCAGGCTGTGCGTAACCAGAAAACTGTTTGCCGCAATAAAATGCCTATCCTTTTCAAGGACTCAAAAAAAAAGGAACGAGTTCCTAAATAGAAACAAATATACAACCCCAGTCGACCACTTGAATGATATAAAAGTCATTTCTCTTTCAAGAGACTTTTCTTTTGATTTGAGACAATATGTAATATGCTACTCACTTTATTTGAATTTAAGACTTGCTTTTGAAACTACAGCAGAGAGCCTTAGAGTCTTTACGCAGAAATAACCCGTGTAATTAATTTTTTCAAACAAATAGGTGGGTTTGGTCCGTTTTATTTGAAAAGGATCCATTTATAGCATACCTATATTCCTTCCTCTCTTCATTCAGCTGGGCAGGTGTCAATTTCTTCTTTCGGCCACAGTTTCAGCAAAAAAGACCTTATTCGCTTTTCGTCAAAATTAGAAAAAATGTATGATTACAACCTAACTGGAGTCAAAGTAAGGGAGCTTTTTTATACACCTCACGCCAATCGTCAAGAGAAGGGACATCAACGACATGCGACAAAATCTACTCCTGAATACGCTATATTGCCTATTCAAACAAATGAAGGCATTTCATTTTGCTGTGCAATGCCATATGCAATGAGTCACTCACTTGCTCCATTATACCAAAAGCAGATAAATGAATTTAAGACTTTGGTAACAAATCCAACAATAAATATAAACAGAGTGATCATCATTTAAGCCTATATGTGCCTGCATGATGGATACACTGAAAAACACTGCAATAATTTGTATGATAATTTTTTTAAGATGAATACGCATCGTTAATGCGTTTCCTTTCAACAATAATAATTTGGGAGCAAGTTGGTTTAGATAAGCTCTACAGAGCTAACGTGGAGGCCGCTGGTCAGTGCAAATCTAACTAAACTGAACATTTGAGAATAAAATAAGGAGTTAAACAAATGATCTGAGCGACTCGAGTGCGGCTATCAGCTTTTTACTTTTGAAGTAATGGATTGGTCACCAACCATACTTCTCAATGCGCATACGATTAGTTAAAAGTCGTTTATTAGTGCAGAACTGACGGAAATCACTGCGATGACCAGACAAATGAATGGGATGTCTAACTGGGGTCCCACCGGCGGACCCCCTTCGGCAGATTTCCCTAAAATATTTAGGACCCAGCACTTTTCTTGCAACTTCTTTTAATCAAAATACCGCTTGGCAGCCCACCTGATGATAATTGTCAGGGTTGATTTGCGAAACCCTGAATGTAAAACTTTCCCGATATCACCACGAGGCTAAATGGAATGTCTGCATGTGTAGTGCTTACTTGTTGACGCTCGAAAAAGTATTCTGCGTGGTTTTTTTGCGCAAAATGGATTCAACCTTGAACGATAAAAAACATATTTTTGCAGCAAGACTGGAGTGAAAAATGAGAAGGAGGATAACGAGTCTGCATGCGTTAAAGGCATGTGAACCAGGCATTTTGCTTGACGCGGCACCGTTGTTTTTGCAGCTCGTCGGAGATCTGAACAGTCGACCCATCGCGAATATGACGTGATTGTGACTTTTTGTGTGAGGAGCCTTTATTCACGCAACGTATATATACGGCCATCAATTTCAAGAACGACATAGTCTATGTGTCGTGATGTTCGTGCAAAAGCAATTCAACGTTTGCCTGGTGGCAGCACTCGCGCTGCAGGTTGGTAGAATTAATTTTGAGGATATTAAATTTTAAGAACATCAATTTTTGAGAAATGTATAGTTCAAATACTTTAACGTTTCTTGCAAAATAAACTTTTTTCTAAGAGTCATGCAAACAAAATATTTAGTCCTGCGATTTTCTACAGAGTAGATAAAATGTACGAAAGTGGGGTGGATTTTGTTTAGGTACTTTATAAAATTACAAAAAATAAAAAAATAATCGAAAAACACCCTCCGACGGATACATTTGTAGCAATTCGAAATTGTTTGACCACTATTTTGATGATCAATCCGTGAGAGATTCGAAAGAATTTTTAATTACCTCTCGAAATACGCCTCTAAAAATGCGTTTTTTGGCAAAAAACAACGAATAAAAACTTCAGAAGCAGTGATACTCGTAAGAGCAGCTTTTAACAAAGTAACTAACTTTACTCACTAACTTATTTGGCCATCAGCCAAATTCCCGATGAAGAGGGTACACATTGACTTCTATGAACAAAGTTTAAAATTTTTTATCTTATGTGATGCTTATTCTAAATGGATGCAAATAGTTCAAATGGGAAATTGTAGAGCAAATGATGTTGAGAAAGAAATTCTTAATGTGGCTTCCATTTCAGGGCTTCCGAAAATTTGAGTTAGTGATAATGGACCCCCTTTCGACCCTGCGGAATATACCCAATTTTGTACAAAATTTAACATTAGAGTTCTTCATTCCCCGCCATATTCTCCTCAGTCGAATGGACTAGCGGAAAGGGGAGTTCAAATTGCAAAGAAAGGCTTAGAGAAATTGTTATTAAGTCATGATCCATCTACAGAATTTTCAACATCGATAAATATTTTTCTCTTCAATTACCGTAATACCCCAACTACAAACACATTTAAGTCTCCCAACGAGATTATTCTAAACTTCCGCCTTAGAACTTTGTTGACACAGCTACTACCGTCTTCGGTTTCCCAACCCTTAACTCACATGTACAGCGAAAACGCAGAAATTTGTGTTAAATTCCATAAAAAGGTCCCTACTGTTAAAGGCATAATTGCCAAAATTATTGGACCGAATAGATACATAGTGTCAATTGAAGGGGTGTTGAAGCATGTTCATGCCAATCAAATTAATCGAGCGTCCAAAAGTGCGATATGCACTACAAAACGTAATACGACTTATTTATAATATTTGTAATGTGAACACAAAAATATTTTGTTCTTTCCTCCCTCATATCTTTGTACTCAATCTAAAAAAAACGTAACACGACTTAAAAAACGACGAGGAGGTCTGCTAGTTGAAAATGTTGAACTCAATCACTGAAGGAAATTAAAATTTGACATTTATAGTTTCAAAAAGCTACAAGAATATTGCTATACCTACATCGGAAGAGTGCGGATATGTCACGGTGACTTTGACGTAAGGACATGGAGCTTTTAGGGCCCAAAGGGCCAGCCGACCGGTGAAATCAAATTATCCATGATAATTTACCATCACAATTGTTACGACTTGCCGTTGGTAAAGCAAGTGTTTGACTTAGTTTTTGTACAAATTTACTAATTATTGCAGAAAAATGCTCATTTATGTACAATCTTAGCGATCTTGGTTTGATATTTGAATCCTAAGATCGGCGGCGGCATTCTTCTGTCATTTTTCGTATTAGGAAATTGACTGCCTTTTTGGATCCTAAGACCTCCCTATTTCGACATGTCCGTTCTCTCTTCACATCAGTACTCTAATGTAATATTAAAATGAAAATGTTTCAAGTTCCGCCAGTGCCGCACAGTGGATCGAGCCCGTCAGGTAGGTGGGACATGAAATTTTTTACTAAAACTGCAAATGTTGATGTTTAATTCGTCGGATTTTAAATTTTAAGGGATGCTGCTGAAGGAAAATTTTAAGAGGAAACCAATAAAGCCACTTTTAAAATCTCAAAATTTTGATTTAACGTAGATAAAAGCTTTAAAAGCTGCCAAATTTTGTCCGGCCTCTCCTACTGACTCGATCCACTGTTTGCGGTCTTGACGACCAGAGATTCACATGGATTGCATTTTGCAAAAAGGAACCACTAGCATTGCAATGATGCTAAGATTGTGCAACTTCATCTTTTGCAATAAAACTGCGGAAATCGTGAAAAACTGTGAAATTTAGATGGTGATTTTTGTCTTTAATTTGCAGTTTTTAGCGAGTAAAAAAGAAACTATCGATGGATAATCGGGTTTTTCCTCCAAGACAAAAGAAGTTGCACAATCTTAGCAACATTGCAATGCTAGTGGTTCCTTTTTGCAAAATGCAATCCAATTCGTCAGATTTTAAATTTTAAGGGATGCTGCTAAAGGAAAATTTTAAGAGGAAACCATTAAAAGCCACTTTGAAAGTATCAAATTTTTGATTTAACGGAGATAAAAGCTTTTAAAGCCTCCAAATTTTGTCCGGCCTCTCCCACTGACTCGATCCAATGTTTGCCGTCTTGACGATAAGAGATTCACATATTATTGGTTTCTAGGTGTTCTTGGTCTCAGCGTCACCGGTGCACCCACCGAGCGCAGAAGATGCGGAAGAGCAAGAGAATGTGGATGGACAACTGAAGACCCGTGGTCTTTGGGATTCCTTCTCGGCACCTTCACCGTCGGCGGCCCTCAATGCCGCTGACTCCACTCTCCGATCGGTCCGCGACCAGGGCACCCGCGCGGTCCGCTCCGTCGCCGGAGCCGGAACTGAACTCGCCACCGGTATCAACCCCAACACCGTCTACGAGATGGGTCAGGAAGCCATGAAGAAGGCCATCCGCGGCGCCCGCTACGGAACCGAGGTATGTCGCCGGGCCTTTAATAACGAACCATGCCCATGACCAAAGTGAGAAACCACGTACTTTGGGGTTGCAGACTTTCTGCGACACATTTCTTTGGAGAATTAGTCAACACAACTTCTTGGAAACTTTCGTAATTTTTCTTCTATACACTGGAAAAAAACACATTGGATCTAGAGTCCAGACTCTTGAAAACATTGAAAAAAAAAGGACTCTTGATTCGATCAGATTTAAGCTTAAATCGAAAGGAAATCCGCTCAAATTAAGAGGCTTGGTTCTTGTTTTAAGCTTAAATCTGATTGAATCAAGAGTATTTTATCTTGTCGATGTTTTTAAGAGTCAGGACTCTAGATCCAATGTGTTTTTCTTTCCAGTGTATCCTGAATAGGGTGATCCAAAAGTCCCTTCCACTCCCTTGAACATTTTACCACATTGAGGTAAAGATTTGAAACTTGGGGGATGCTCCTAGGTCAAATGGCGCTACTTTTTGGGCCCCTTAATTTTTCAAGGCGCCCCTTGGGGAGGGGGGGGGGCAACGGATCCCAACCTTATTTTTCAAATGAAAAAACCCCCCATGTGATGGCTCGTTCGAAAGATCATGAAAAAGAAAACATTCCGAACAAACCTGTGATTTCCCATTTGAAAAAAAGGTTTGGGTCCGTTGCTCTCCCTTTCCCAAGGAAACAACACATAAAACACCATTAACATTTAAGGAGACCAAAAAGTAACTCCCTTTAATCTAGGAACATCCTCCAAGGTTTCAAATCTTTACCCCAATTGGGTAAAAAGTTAGAGGGGGTAGAGGAGCCTTTTGGATTACCCTGTGTAAGTTGCAGGCTATAGAGTTGGATTGTATCCCGTCCAAAAAATAAAATAGGAGCCGATATTTTGAAATACCGCGGTGGAGATACGTAGTGCAGAACTTTAGCCATCAATGTGTTTTAAGGGGAGAAGCCAGATTTAAGAGACCCTTCGCTTACTTGTTCTGCCCATCCCAAAAAGTGCACAGTATGTACGGGAAGAATATGGGCTTTTACCGGAAGTCATTTTCTTTGTAATTTTAACTCTACACGTTTGGAAAAATGGAGGAATGCCGAAATGAAAAGAAACATAGAAATGTAATAGGTGGAAAGTCAAGATTAAGGTGTGATCATGGGATCTGATAAAATTGAGCCAAGGTTACAGTCAATTTTCTCTCGAAGCCTATCCTTCACTCGTATATGGCTCTCTCCCTCTGGGAGGGTAAAAGCTAGGGTGCTTAAATGTATGACAACGTTACAAATTTTCATTTTCCATTTTATTCATTCGTCCGAGAACGGCCGGTAATTTTATTCTTAAACCCTTGTGAATTTTTTTTGTGATTTGACAAAAATTCCTCAGAATTAACCGTGTAAAAAAATCACTTGTTGATTATAACGCAATAAGTTATTAGGGAAAACTTTCGAACTTCTGCAATGCAATTAACAATTAGCCTCTCTATCTCTCCTGATATATTGCTTGGTTGAAAACTTGGCTCAGCGTTGTTGTAGGGCCGTTCTAGGATGTTCATGAGTCAGTAAAAAAAAATTCAATTACGCGTCGTTTTACAGACATTCTGACCTAAGAGTGCCCGAAAAGTCAAACCAACTCAGAGTTCTAATAGTTTAAGGAAGTAGCATTAATTGTTTAATTAGACTCATGCAGTTCAAACTTTTAGCTTCCGAAAATTGGAATCAATGTTACTAAAATCGGCCACTGAAAGCAAACTTAAGTCAATTGATGGACAAGGGTTCCATTGAAATTTCAATCTCCTGATTTTCGGTATGCTTTTCAAATCGTCAAAAAAAATGTAGCAGCTTCAGGTAATAATTCTATTGCAACACACATTCGAATTTATGACCCACTCAAAAGTCCGTTAGTTTTCCAAATTGGACTGCAGTCGAAATTTATTGTTTGTCAATCGGAAGGTTTGAGGTAACGCATTCAGGAGCCGCCAATTAATATACTCACTTGTGAGGTTGGTTTGGGAAATTTCAATGTATTCACCATGTTCTACGTAAACTTTTGATGACGTAACATGTATTCTGATTCTTAACTTTTACCATATTCAGCGTTTCATACCCAACTACTCCTCTCAATTGGGCACACTTACATGTTCACAGGTAGTTTACGATGCAGCGGACAAGACCCTGGACACAATGCAATCCCTCCACGACAAGAAGAAGGACCTCGTTGAAAGCTACGTGAAACCCAACGCCCCGGACATGGTTAACAACGTCATCGACCGCGTCAACACCGGCTTCGACTCGACATTGGCTTCCATTAAGGACCGCGTCCACCAAGGCCGCTCCGTCGCCCAGAGCACCCTCGACAAGCTCGAAGAGAAACTCGAGAACGGTGAGTCTATCATGCCCAGCGCCGTCCAGGACGGAGTCCAACGCGTCGGGAAGATGCTCGCTCCGATGGCCGACTCAGTCCAGGGTTGGGTGAACGGCTGGATGCAACCCGCCGCCGGCGCAGCAGCCCCAGCGAAACCCATGACCGACGAAGAGATCAAGGTCGAAGACGAGAACATGTTCGCCGATTTCGCCAAACCCACCCGCACCGACAGAGTAGAGGAGGCCATGAGGGCGGCCAAGGCAGCCGAGGAGGCCAGGATCAAGGCAGCCGAAGAGGCCAAGGCAGCCGCGGAGGCCAAGGCAGCCGAAGAGGCCAAGGCAGCCCAGGCGGCTATCCCGATCACCCCCATGCCACTCCGCAGGATGAGATCCCCCGCAGCAATGAGAGCAGGCGGCGCCGGAATGCGTTCTCGTTCTTTCAGAGGCTCCCGCCTGGGGGGTATGAGCGGTCGTTAGGTTTTGAGCGCGTTTAGTTCGAGCGTTTACCGGAGATGTACAACTAGTAGATCGAGTAGGGCCTCGAAACAAGATTAGATTATCTGTTTGTTCCACCGCTTGACGGCTGTAGATTTGGAGCCATTAAAAATTTAAATTTTCGAGCATGTCATGAAGCATAATTGGACGTATTTCTGTCGAACGAAGCTATTTGCATTATGACGTGAGTCCTGTTATGCATTATTCTTATGGGTCTCAGAGCTCGTGTCTTAATGCACGTAGTTCCATTTGGCAGAAATACGTCCACTTATCAAGATTGCTATAGGAGTACAAATAATTCTCAAAACGTACTCCGACACTGACCAATAATGGCGAACAAGAAATTTAAATCTTGTAGAAGAAGGGCAAATTCACCACCTGCATTCCACAAATGACACCGCAGTTAGAGGGTAAAATGCGTGATCCGACAATATTGACTTCTTTCAAGATCAAATTACATAATTACATGATTATAGGAACATACCAATATTTACTAATCCGTGTTTGCCTCAAATAATTCGTTGGTAACACCATTCGGTGTCATTTTACAGCTCCTCGTGCAGGATTGACGCTCTTACGAGCTTATGCGGGGTTCTAAACGAAACACCCACATAGAGATGGCTTCCGATTTGTTCTTTTTCGGCTTCAATGTGGAATAGAGTTTTAGGTGGCGTACTCCGTCTACTGGTTGAATATTTGTGGTCGTTTCTGAAGAGAAAGTTCCTACAGTATTAGAGCGTTTTTTCTTTCTTCTTTTAAATACATTTCGCAGTATTTCCAGTTTTCCGTTTTTTCTCGCTTTTTTTTGAGTGTGTTCATGACTTCAGTACGTTTCCTTGGCTGATTTATGATCATGGCCTTGTGTGTAATTTTTTTTTTGATGAGTGAATTTTTCCACTAATAAAGATTCTGATTCCTTTTGGGTGATACCAAATTTTTTGCCTTTCGTTTTCTACAACTCTCTACTATCCGAAAACCCCTCAAACTCAAAATCTTTCAAATAAAAAATAGTAAAGGATTGAATAGTACAGCCGAGATCAATTTTCCTCGATGAAAAATAGCCTCATTCAAAGAAGTATATTAGTCTTTGGAGCGGTCATAAATTACCGCTAAAAAAATTAACTAGATATCATCGTTGACAGTCTGAGTTTTGTTTACGGAAACCAAAATTATTTGGGGAAAAGCAAAATCTCAGGAGTCCTGAAGTATACTAACTTCCAAAAAATATTTAATAGGTATATTTATCTTCTGAGAAGGGTTTTATTTGATTGAGAAATATAAATCACAGCAACACCTGAATTTTGCTTTTAGGTCTGTGTTTTCCCTTTAACTTCCCACCCAGAATTTCCTACATACCGTCGGACAGGCGGGAATGTGAAACATATTATATTTTGACTCATAACCCACCGCGGAATTTTTGGAAAACAGTTTGATATTTTCAGATCATAAATTTTGATCGACCGAGGGACTTTCATACCTAATGCAACAGATTAGAAGCCCCAAAGGAATGTGATTTGGACTGCGTTAAGCAGAGAGGAACCAAGCCACATCAGTTATTGTCAAATGTAATTGGGCAATTTAACTTTTTACTTGAAAGCGGTTATGCGGGTTTTTGTGAAAATTTTAGTAAAATTTTTTGCACGGTGCGAAGCAAATTTTTGTAAAATTTTCATCGGAATCCACACAAACGTCCTCTTGTAAAATAGTAAAATGCCCGGTTAAATTTGACGATACCTGATGTGACTTCCTTCCTTCCTGCTAAACTCGGTCCATTTATAGTAAATTGATTATATGTGGAACGAGGGTATCGAAGAGTCTTAAGAAAATATAGATATTTGAAAGATCAAAACACAGTATTACTCAGTGCAAGGGGAACAGGACCTTCGTTCAGAGGGAAAACTTCAAGGAAGGTATACCTGTCAAATTAGTTTGGGAATTTTTAAAATCAGTTTTAGAGGAAAGCACTTTTTAAAAATAAACGAAAGAAGTCTATAGTAGTTTATTTTATTTTTGTGTTGGAAGAGAACATAAAGATGCATTTTGATAACGTATAATTTTGAGCTCCAAACACAGCACTCGAACTATCGAGACTATGTTCGTTAAGCTGAAGACCTCTGGAACCGAATTACACCTTTCAGAAGAACATATGAATAATACGAAATAAATGTAAATTCTTTCTCATAATTCTTAACTCAACGGTTCCTAACTTAAAAGGGCAATCATCTCAAGTTTAGTCGTATAAGAAAAAAAATATGATTTCATGGCATTTAGATACTTGCATAATACAATGAATGATATAATTTAGTTTCCGATTCATTAAACCGTCTACTGATAAAAATACATGTTTATAAATAAAAAAAACCTGTATTCCTGCCTTCCTGTAAGCTTCAGGGGCCTAATTGCAGGACCTCGTTTATAGAAAGTGGCTACATGTGGCTTTCGCGCAAAGAACATTTGGGTGCGAAAAAAAGATGAAAGTTCTAGTAGAGAGGGTTTTTTTTGGAGGGGGGGATTACTAACATAAAAAATTGATTTTCTTCCTTTCTTTTCTGGTTCATTTTGGCTCATAAATAAATAGTCCCATCAATTATTCCTGAGCCATTTGATCTACACAAACTTTTGGATACTCGGTGGATCAGTTTTTGAATCGTTTTTGAATAAGTGAAGTTTATGGATATTGTCATATGCTAGCCACGATTTGTATTGATTAAAGTCATTCGATGGCAGTACAAGAATCGGCCAGAGGATACAGAACATATGGCTCCTCACTCTCTCATCAGGAGACTACATTAAAAAATCTGCGGCTATGAGAGAGGTCGTCGTATTTTGGTGGTCGAATCCTCCATCGATTTAGTTTCTATCAATTTGCTTTGAAAATAATATACACATGCAGATCTTGTTTTAAATAAATTTACCGCGATTTTATGTGCTTGCACACACAGCAGTAATGGTAACAGCACAAACAATTGGAAAAAGTAAACATGCCTGAAGTAAGAAACAACAATGAGTACGCTTTGAATGAACACTTTGATTGAACGCAAATGAATACACTAGGAACGATACGCTTACTTTTAATACCTAACAAAGAGCAACTACCCGGAATCCACGCTTTAAATTGCAATTGACCGCATAGTAGGCAACGAAAAAAATTCGCATTGGTCTGTATGACCTCCAAATCTGGAGAGTCCCAATTTTCAGATCTGTTTGGGGTTAAGAGGCTGGGAAGCACACGATACCTAGTTGGTTATAGCTTTATCTAGGCTGAAATGATGTCAACGCCTTTTTTACGACCGAAATCAGAGGAGTCAAACCAATTTTGCTCACCTTCAAACCTCGCAAGGACAATCGAAGGGCTTCCCGCCGAGAAAAAACTTTCCGCTATCATAACTGAAGAATTCTAAGCAACGTATCGAGATTCCGAGCAAATACTGGTGGAAAATTGTAATCTCCGTTGGATTCACTGATTTTCCTCATGCACTAACTGGAAACGGGTCGCAGCGGCTTTCCAAGCCCTCTTCAAAATTTTCCGCGATTCTGATTTTTTTAACTCTCTACATAATTTTTTACCTGCTCTGGACTTGTCAGGCGTCATTGACATCGGTGTAATTTGCGAAAATTCTGAGAAGAGGAGTGCGCAAATGGAAAATTCGACGTAGACTGAAATGTTTTTTTTTTCCATTCCTTGCGTCTCTTTTCGCTTCCTTTTTTCCCGTTCGTTGCCTTTTCCTGGCTATAAAAGTGGGCGTCAATGGGGTTTTACGATGAGACCGTGCCATGATGTTCGTGCCAAGGCTGTTTCTCGTTTGCCTTTTGGCTGCTCTCGCGGCTCAGGTACGTTTTTTCCCGATATTAATCCACAGGTTAGGTTTAGTTCAAAACTCACGTAAACAAATCTGCACATTCAGACCTTCCCGAAATTATTTGTCTTACTTTCATCAAATCGCACACTTAATCGTATCCGAATATAATAAGATCTATCTTCGATTTATACTTTCTTACGTAGAAAATGCCATGAAATTGCCTTTTTCTGTAGACAATTCCAGAAATTCCTTCGCATACCGCAGGGGTTGATTCATTACGAACAAAAATAATTGCACAAAATTTTCTCATTTTTTATCCATTTTAAATGGACATCAACCCTTGAATTTTTTTTGGAAAAAATAATGGTTTCCGAAAATAAACAAAAGCAGTGACACTTATATCGACCAAATGACATGAGATCTGGTTTGCGGGGTTATTTTTATGGACATGCTCTGGAATCTAAAATAGTATAGACACGCCTCCTAGAAACCCGCGCAGAAAACCAGTAAACTCATAAGCCATTTATTATCTTTTTTGTATGATGTACATTGTATAATGGAAGAACAGAAAAATTTGAGATATTTTCCGAGGATTATTTGTGCGGGCAGACCTTACGTTTGCATAGGACTAAATGCGTGACGTTTAATTAAATTGAGCTTTCAAGTTGATTGATTTTTGATGGATTGAGATTAAGACCGTTGTATCTGTCAATTTTGCACTGATAAAGATACTTGTGTTCTTGCGTTACTTCTCGTTAATATAGAAAGTGGAACACGAACCAAATCTTTCGTGTTGATGTCGGTACAGTTTGCTGTGAATTTAGCGCAGAAAACAATGGAGAAACTAGAAAGCCCTAAATTCAACCAAAGGCTTTGGTTTATTTTGTGTTTTACTTCTCGTAATAACCAAACGTTTGGGTTGAGTATTCTCTCTGTGTGGTGAATTTTCAAGAGGATGGAACTCACTACTTAAAATTCCCAAAATTTAATCTTCAAAATATGATCATCTTGATGACTTTCTGAACCAAAAATGGACAATTACACAATCTTTACTTCATTCTTAAATTGGCTTAAGGTACAAAACTTTGCAGAGTTATAGTAAGCTCTGATCACTGTTGCACTGAGCTCTTGAAGCACATTCTCTTAGGAGCTCCTTGAAACTTAACCTTTTGAGAAATGACTCGTAAAAGCAATGCCTAAATTTCATTCTCCTTGCAATGTTAAAGTTTCATTATAATTTTCGAGAAATGTTTTGTGTCTAAAGTACAATCAGCGCATTATTATATGGATACAAGAAGTCACCAACGTTAAAAATAAACAAAATGCAATCAACCCTGCATTTTCTAAATTTGTGTACATAATTCTGGAGCATACATTCGCCTATACGAGTGGGGCTATATATTTTAAATCGCACCCGCGTCAACAATTTGAGCAATATAATCAGGCGAAGCAAACGATGAATTCGGAAATCATCCCTATTTTCCACCTAAACACGATTCACGAGCGACTTAAGTTGCTTATTAATTAATCCGTTACTTAATTACTGAACAAATGTGAAATTCACTTACTAATGGCAGATAAATGTTGGGTTGAGGACTTTGCCGGGCGAGTTTTCGCTGAGTAGCTAATTTCGCTAGATCAATGAGCTCCTTTAGAAATTTTGAATTCCTGCAGTATAAAAATTAGAGAGTGCACCAAGTTCCTAGGTATTTTTCCCGATTTTTGAACAGTATAAACCCACGAAAAACCGGCTCAAAATTGCGTACTTTAAGCTCATTTTCCGTGGGTTAATATTGTTCAAAATATCGCGGGAAATTCCTGTGAACTACGTGCACTCTTTAATTTTCAAAGATATAGGAATTAAACATTATTAAATATCTCATAGCTTAACTTTTTGGTCATCAAATATCATCAAGCTAGTGTGAGAGCTGATTCCAAACTGAAGGTTTACACCTTGGAGAATTCGAGGCGCTGGGTATCTCAAATACATTTTCTTCGCACAGTCAAGGACTCATTTTCAGTAACGATGCACGCACCTTCTCTACTCGCGTAGCGGAACTTTGCTCTTATAGTTCATCTCTGCGGGCCGATTATTTACTTTTACAGACAAAGTTGTAGACAAAGAAGACATACGGAGTAGAGAGGGATCCTATTGGTTGAAATGGGTGGTTCTCATAGACTAACGATCGGGTCTCTCATGGGTTGCCGTTAGTTAGTCAATTATCTACGTCCTATGTCCATTGCAACCACCTGCTTCCACCGCTAGGATCCCTCCATATCATTTGTGTCTTCTTTGTCTATTGCTATGTCTATCAATTTCAATAATCAGTCCGCTCATCACCTTTCATTTGATTCCAGATCTCCACAAATCCAGTCCCCGCGAACTATGACGAACCGGCCGACGGACAGACTGATGGGGTTTACGATGAAACCGCATATGCTGAACCCTTGAACGAGGAAACCGATGACGCACCAACCAATGACTACAGCGACGGTAACGAAGACACACTCGCTGAAACCACCGATACAACACACGAAGAAGTTACCGAAGCACCTAACGACGACGCAACCGATGGGACCATCGACGATTCCATCAATGAAATCCCTGACGGAGAGCAACAACTAGAGCGTCGCGATCTTTTCACCCCGAGCAGGCAGTTCCGCGTATCGAGCAGGAGTGCTCCACAGGAGTTGACGGACGTGGATGCCAAGCCGGCCATGGACATCACACCTATCCTCAAGATGTCTCACAATGCAATGATCCAGACGGTGCGCGGTGCACGCTCCGGCACGAACGCGGCTTACGACGTCATGGACAAGACCCTCGAGCTACTCCAATCCCTCCACGAACGGAAGAAGCAGTTGGTCAAGGACTACGTGAAGCCAGTTGCATCAACGAGGATCAGCAAGGCCATCGATACGGTGGATAGTGGGCTGGACACCACCTTGAGCGGCATAAAGATGGGGGTCAGGCACGGCCGTAGTCTAGCCGAAGGAACCTTGACCGATATCGAGGGTCGGCTACAGAGGGGCGAGTCCATCCTACCGGCAGGAGTACAAGATGGATTCGATAGGGTCAGCAAGGCTATCGGCGCTTGGGTGAGCGGGAACGCACCTCCCGAAGTAGATGAAGATTCAGAGGAAGACCTGAAGGAATTGAGGATGAAGCATGACGAGGAATTGGCCCGGCAGGAGAGGGAGGCACAAGAACTGAGGGACGCGGAAGAACTGAAGTACGCACAAGCACTGAAAGCCGCGGAGGAAATGAAAGCTGCGCAAGAAGCGAGGGAACAAGAACTGAGAGCTGCACAGGAACTGAAAGCTGCGCAAGAAGCGAGGGAACAAGAACTGAGAGCTGCACGGGAACTGAAAGCTGCGCAAGAAGTAAAAGAGCAAGAGCTGAAAGCTGCGAAGGAACTAGAGCGAAAACAGCAGGCACTAAAAGAGGCCCAAGAGGCGCAGGCAGCGAAAGCTGCCATTGTTCCGGTCCCCTCAACCGCTAGACGTGCTGGTCGTACGCTGAGTCAAAGTCAACAAGGTGGTCGAGGTCAAGCAGGTAATCAAAGTCTGACTGCAAGGAGGTCTTTCAGATTCCCGAGATCCTTCCGTTTGACAAAATAATCCGTCCGCAAAATTCCAAGTATTTTTCGGTTGTTTCAAGATCAAACTATAATTAATGATTTTTCCGCGAGTTCCCAGAAGAAAAACAAAATCAATACCTTTAACAGCAAAAGAGAGCAACGATCGAGTTACGCTAAAAACGTTCCAAATTTAATATTCAAAATGTTTTCACTGAATTGCGGCTGGAGTTACTCGAGAGAGTTAGAGTGTCCCGAAGTGCAAGTTTTAAAAATGCGCAATTTTCTTTCGCCTCATATAAGGCTTGTGATTTTCTGAAGTCTGAATAAAGTTGTTTAAGCAATATTTTTAATGGAAGCGTTTTTTTTTCCTGAAGAGGCCATGCGGTCTATGAAATTATGATTCGTACCCTAAGCACTGTTTCTGACTGCTAATCTTTTTAAAACATTTTCTTACCTGGATGCCAGTGACGCATCGCGGGTCAAAATACATCATTCCTCCTGGCGGTAGGCGTTGATTCTGAATATGAAGCACCTCCAGTTTCGAGCAGTTTTCTAGTCCTTCGACGACAGAAATACAGTTGTAGCCCAGGTACCTGAAACAATTAGAAAATATGCCTTGAAGATGTAGATGATCGAGGCGTATAAAAGTGTATTTAAGAGGACCGAAATGAATGATAAGTAGGAAATATTTATACCAAAAAGTAAAATACTTTATCTTAGAAAATTAAATTATGAGGAAAATTAAGAAACACTGCGATCAAGATACGCATTCAATACTAATTCCACAATTGACATGTTCAACGGGTGGTAAAAATATCAGAGAAACATGTTAACTTTATGATAATGCATACAAACAATTTAAGTCTAGTGGATATAGTCATTGAGAGGACAAACAGTGTAACCGAGATAGCTATAAATAGCACAACAATATGGTTGGTGTTTTACAATGCTCAAAGAAAATTATTAAAAAAGTCTCACTAAACACAAATCTAAAGTAGACACACAGTTCTCTTAAACTTACAGCTTCCTCAAGTTGTGAAATTCTTCGAAGCTGTACATTGTAGCGATTTGGTTCTTCTCTAAGTACAAATGAGTGACATTTTTGAAAGCTTCCAAACCCTGCGTTGAAATAAGCGTATTCTTCCTCAAGTATAGGTATGTGATGGAGGGCCATGCTGACAGGGCACCCTGAACAAGTTTTCAAATAATAATCAGGAAATTTTCGATTAAGCCTCACAAATTAATATAATCTTTGCAATACCGAAAAATTCGGGAAGATTACAACGAATCCATTTCAACGGGTGCGGTCGCAATCGTAATTTATCCTCTTTTTCAAGTATGATGGTAGTAACTAAAAGACTTTCATACTACATGTGCTGTTCTGGAATTTTTAACTATAGAAAAAGTAGTCGTAATTTATTTACAAATCGTTCATTTTGATCAGTGCATTAACGACAACGGCTTGGACAACGATGATTAATATGCAAACTTATTAATATGTCTGTATAGATGAAACTTTAATCGCAGAAAGGCGGATTACGTTGCATGATCTTGAAGGCTACTGAAATTGAAGGCGCACATGCAATCTCTACACGCGTTATACCACGACTACATTCAATATTATGAACAAGAAAAGAGGACAAACTTAGATGCTGCGGTGGTTATAACATTGATTCCCCCTGGTCCCCCCGAACTTCTACGAAACATCCGAAAAGGCCCAAAAGTAGTATATTTTTACAATACAAACTCTTTCTTAACACATAGTGGCCGTCATTTTGATTCAAGGAAAAATAAAAAAACAAAGTGAAACCACTCTCTGAAAAAGTTGCGACCAATCGATGAAGCCCAGGCTTATCTTGTGATAAAATCTCTCCATGGCTTTAATGAGTCCGGAATATTTGAAAATCCTCTGCCGTTACTGAAATATCGTACATCGCCCCTTTTGGACTAGTTGGAATTTCAGTGGTCTCCACAGAATACTGATTGTCTGAAAAAAATTCTATTTGTCTCAAAGAGTGCGTCATTTTGAAAGGAGGCTCCTGTGGATTCACAGGCAATTTTTACTCCATATTCAACACCTATCTCAGGTTAATCTCCTGAATTTTAAACCTCCTTGATCATACCTACTTAGGCTCGATCCTCTGCGGGCTGATTGCTGAAACTGAAAGACAAAGCGATAGACAAAGAAGACATAGGAAGTATTGGCGATACTATTGGTTGGATCCTACAGACAAAGGGAGAAAACGATGGACTAACTATGGGGTCTCTCGTGGGTTGCCGTTAGTTAGTCCAGCATCTACTTTCTTTGTCCATTGCGACCACCCGCTTACACTAATAGGATCCCTCTACATCCCGTTTGTCTTTTTTGTCTATACCTTTGTCTATCAATTTAAACAATCAGTATCAGTAGCGAGGCCCGCTGCAAAAGACGCCAATTAGAATCAAATGTGCCATTCGTGAAAGACGCACTTGATAAATGCTTGACATTATACTATCCTGCTCCAAAATACTGCGAGATAGGAACGGTCCTACTTTTGGATTTTCTGCGGGATCAGTAAACTCAGAAGTCAATATCATCGCAACCTTGGGTTCAAATACAGTTCGGCGAAGCCAATTGATGAATTTCTGAAAAACACGAGTGTCGAATAAAAACTGTTCTAAGGTTGCGTGTAACTGCCAAACTTTGCACAGTTCGTGACCTATAGCGGAAATTTTGAATCAATCTGAACTAAAACGTTTTGCGTGATATTGGGGATCGATTTTGAAAATCCAATAAGAACGCCTACCGATAATCCATCGATGCTGCTGTCGTCGAGAAAGAGATGAGTTGACTTGCGTAATCTCCTTTTATTCCACCTGTTGTCTCTTCTCAAAGTCTGATCGATTACACTATCCGTCAGCTCCATGTTAAAAGCATGGTAAAAGATGTTTTCGTCCACGTAACTTAGAGATTCAGGTCAAAATAGCTAGACTATATGGTCAATATATTTTTTTAAAAACGTATGTAAACCTTCTCAACGAACACCAATTCAAAACATGAGAAAAACTTGGATGCGCGGTGAATGTCCGATGTGCTTCTTTTGCTATAAACAGGTTGACACATATTGTTATTTCTAAGAAAAATAAATAAATAAATGGATTAAGTTCTGTGCTAAATATCTAGTTGATGGCAAAAAAATAATCCATTGAGTTGCTCACACGTGTTTCGGGAGGAGCTAAAAGTATGAGGATGATTTCAGCTCATGTAAAGGTCAGAGATCGACGAAAAAGGAGGTCGGAAAATTCTACTTCATCTCCAGCAAAAACGCGATGATACGGACGATATCCGCCAAATCGCACATTTAAACTTGGGCAGATCACTCAACATTTCATCATTCGATTAAGCGCGTACACACAAATCCCTCGATGTTAACCGTTGTTCGAGGGTGCATCCTTACTTATTCCGGCATCTAACAAACCTACCATTGCCATGACAACGAACAGCAACTCTCGATGCCGGTAAGGTTACAGGTTAAGTCGAAGTCTATCTCTCTGATCATCTAATTTAACTAATGTACTTCTGAATTTCCTTCTTAGATTCTCTGCATTTGTTAAATGTGTGTACTGTAGACTTAAAACAGACGGATATCATTTCAAAAACCCCTTAGAGATTCTTGCGAGTTGACAAAACTGTTCAGGAGCAGAAAAATGTGCTGAATATTTTGTCAAACTTTGTTTGAAACTAGGTTCAATTTTTCTTACAAGCGCCACTTCTGTTTGTAATTGTTCCCTAATCAACTTGAAGATGAGCTTTCATAAAATTCTTTCAAGCTTTATTGGAGGCCTTAAACAGCCTCAAAAATTGACTTCAACGGTGCTTCAGTACAACTCAAATGTTTTCTATGAAGTAAAGTTCAACTTCGGTTTTTTCATTCTTTTTTTCTTTTTATGCAAGTTCTCCCATGTACTAGTTTGGTCAAGAATCAAACATTTTAATTCTCAAGAAAAAGGGTCTTAGCATGAATTTATTAGAAATCTATTTACTAGTTCTTTTTGCTCAGATAAAATTTTTAATCTTGTCATATTTTTTCATCTCTGTTCAGAAATTATCTGTCTACTTTTTCCGATTTTAAAAGATTTCCCTGAAAGACACTGTACAGTTACAGCCGAATTTTGTCTAATCTATTTTTTTTAATCCCATCTCTAACTAGATGATGAGAAGTCAACGATCCATGCCGCTCGATTGCTCGCCCTTCTTTTGAACCGGGCCTCAACCGTCGTTGGAGTAAGTGGGTCCATGAAACTTTATAAAGATGATGTAATGGATGGATTCATGTGCCTTACAAACAATGTAGAATTCACTTTACAGAAGAAAAGAATAGGTTATATTATTAGGTTATATTATATAGGTCATATTTGCTGCAATAGGTTTGAATATGCAAATTTTTTCAATTATTGAGTTCAATAAGGACCAGAACAAGCTAAAATATCGCGTGTTTGTGAACAATGTTCTGTATCCTGCTGAGTCACCTCTTAACGCCCTTGACTTGGCGTTTAAGATTTTCCAAGTAATGGATGCTGAATACCCAAAAGAGAGCAAAGTATCGTGGGTGTATCTACAAAAGAACCTCTACAACTTGAAAACAACCAATAATCCTAGTTTTGCGGATGAACGTAAATTATTGAGAGACCTATTAGACTTCAAACTAAAACAACAATCTATGAGCACAAACTAAGCTCTATCCTCAACTTTCTTTGATATTTTGCCGTTTTTGCCGTTAAGTTTCTTGATAATCTATGAGTACAAACTAAGCTCTATTCTCAACTCTCTTTGATTTTTTTGCCGTTAAGTTTCTTCCTGATAAAGGTTCACCTTAAAATTAAGTTTTCTAGACCCAGCGTTTCCTTTCTGAGTTCTTGCATAATTTTTATTAATGCTGCTTTAAAACTGAGTTACCCATTGCAGTTTTATGTTTTCAATTTAAATTATAATTGCGTCCAGTTTCTTTCTCATAAAGGTTCACTACAAAATCTGTTTAAAAAATTGTGAGTCTCCGTCTAAAATGGGCCTGTTGCAAGGTGCGGGAATTTGCAAATTGATGCCTGAGATTCTTATGGCAAACACGAAAAGAACGATGACGCTACTAAAAAAACTTGAAATGACCTCTCCAACTCAAAAAAAGCTGTTTTTGGAACCGACCCATTCGAAACGGTCGTTTTCACGCGGTAACGGGTCCGCCATACTTGTGACGTGAAATGGTTCACGTCAATCGATAATTTTTTGATCAAAATGGAAATCAGGAATGGATTCCTTGGACGTTTTAATGGTTGTCGCCTTCATCAGATAAAAAAGAATCGACGGGATAAACCCTATTTTTTAGGGAAATAACCGGCGATGGGAGACTATGTGAGACGTGAACAACAACGTCGCCCGTCGTGAGGTGGGTTGTGGGTTATGTTCGCAATCGCTGCGTGATATGCGTTGTTCAGTGCGTCGAAAAGCTCATTACAATGTATTCTCAGATTTAGTTTTGAATTACGCATCAACTGATCGAACATCAATGTGTAAATTCCTAATATCTCTATTGTGTGGTGCCTGGCGTGCCCTGTGTGCAGCTTGCTCATCATAAGTTGAGACCAATGTCAACTGCTGCAGAGAAGTCAGGTTAATCAACAGGTTAATGCATACAATTAGATGGTAGGACGGATTATTGATATCAAAAGCAACACTTTACTTTCATCTGAATATGCAATTTAGAAGCTCTACCTTGCCGCTACAAGTTCTCACATTCTGCGGTTCAATTCTGTCCTCGGTTCTTTGTTGAAGATAAAATGTTGGTTCCATCTTATTTTATGGGCCTGTGTTGATCATAGTACCAATTGATATTAATTTCGGCATACAATGACCATTACCCCTGTCTTCATTAGCTTTCCTCCTCAAATTTTCTAGGATTGTTTCTCCTCATATCATTTGCTTTCCTCTATTACAGGTTGCTGAAGATGCCCTAGACTATGCCAGGTTTAAATTTCTTAAAAAAAAACAATCTACCTACAATCCGCTTAGCCCTCAATAGCCTGGTACACTTCCTCACAAGTTTGATTGCCAACCGGGACGAACGAGTAGCCACAAATCAACCAGAACAGCATCATCGAGATTGAATTTGAAAGATGCTGTGCAGCAACCACTCGCACATATTCAAGATATGTTATCAAATGAGATGGTAAGTGCTTATATCAGATTCATGATCATGCATGCATGAATGATAAAATAAGGGTACCTCTTAAGAATATTCTGCCCCTCCGAGAAAAAGGAAAATCAGTTGTGGCTGTTAGGAGACAGTTAGCTATGGAAGCTATTTCACTGTCTGTCGGCGGGTTGACATCTGAGGAAAGAAAACGAATGACCACGTACAGGTTTTCAAAGATTGTTCCACTTCAGTATTCATTTTTGAAATCGTACAGGGTGTCTCTTATACAGAACCAAATACACTGGAAAAGCACCGATTTTGGAAGGTTGGTGTAAAAACAGGGATTTACTCCACTTTATAAAGTTAGAAGAAAGTGTAAGGAAAGATCAAAGAATTCAAATAATGAGGTATAAAGAGATTCCCCATGGATGTTATTACGATGTACATAGAGCTAATCTTATCTTTGTCCTGCAGATTAATGACCGTCCATGCACTGTCTATGATCAAATGGAAACTGAACAACTTGACGCAATGATGGACACTGTGGAAGAACCGGAACCCCTGTCAATGGATGCCTCTTGCCAAACCGATTGGTCTATTCCAGCCTCAAGCCTTATGACAAAAACAGATGCCTCTTGTCAGGTAAGGAATTTTCTGAGTTTGTTGAAAAATTGTCAAGTGCACAAGCCATTGACAAATGGTATGACAATTGAGGAAATTTTGGAAAGATTTGATTGTCGATTTTACCCGAGAGGATTTGAATTGAACATTTTAACTTAAATTTAATTTTACTAATTTTTTTGACTTAAATTTTTTGAGTCTCAGGGAGGTTCTCCTGCGCACCGCGGACCAAATTTAGTTAGCGTCTTCATTTCATGTCTCTTGTCTCAAGCTCTCTCTTCCCACCTGGGAGGTCCATTGTAAGTTGGTCACCGCCAGCTAATCAGAAGTGCCAAAGATACTCAAATTTTGTACAACTTTTTTCCTTCATCAAGCCATTTTCAATTTTTCATTCCTGTTCTACTTTTGTCTCATATAACTCCTTGCCATGTGATATTTTAATGTTGTAATAACGAAATGTAATTTTTATTCATGTCTCAGAGGAAACTATGATTTACAGCCTAGGACTCCTCAATGTTTTGCATCTGCGACAGTTTCAGTATTAAGGCCCGCCCAAGTATTTTAATAGCTCAGGGCTAACAAAATGGACATTCCTTGCTCCTACCCTTAAAAAGCCGAATAGAATCTTACCATGAAAATTTCTTAATTTTGTCTGTTTTTCTTTGTTGTATCATAATTAACTTCAAAAGTGGATGAAGTATAATTGAGTGAAGACATGTTTTTCTACTCTGTGAAACGCCTTCAAACTCGTTTTACCTTAATCGGTTTCTGGACCACTGAAGCTTCATTTTCTTTTACAAACCATACAAACTTCTCTCGCGATTGGAAGTAGTGCCAAAAAAAGTGGCACATTGATGTCTAAAAGTTTTTTATAAGTCAATCAAGGACATGAGGCTGGTTTCATCTTCGATGAATTTACATGCAAACAAATTTACAGCGCATTCTGCATTGGACTAAGTAAAAAGCATACCTTTTTATCAAGGGAGAAGCAATTTTATTCGTAAATTTCTGAAATTCACCCTAACACCTATGCAAACCCATACTCCCATACCTACATGATTGGTTGAATATTTGTGAATTGACTCTTTCATTGGAAGCTGATTAAGTTTTAAGGGTTGAACCAGATGCTGAACCAGAAATAGACGATGTTGATGATGATGATATCTTCAACTTGGAAACGTGTACATGATTCCTACGAGGGTTTGCATAATCCTTCTCATGTCATACTGAAGAAAATGCCACTGTCCTTAAAAGTGTGGGTGAAATTGAATTACGTGTAAACTATACAGCCGCTATATTTAGTTTTCCACATTCTCTCAATTTTTGTTGGACAGGAATCCTAGGAACGCTTTATTTCTCGGTATAGAGTAAATACTTTTCTCTCCAATTTTTGGCTTCATTTGCAACCAAATACACTTGAAGTATCTACAATTTCAATTTTTTTTTTTAATTTTCGGTGCAATTAGTAGTTATTATAGATTAAGATGCAAACTTAAAAGTTGAAGCTGACGGAAAATAAAGAAAATAAAACAAGAAACTTCTAAAGATAAAAACAACACTGGACAAACGTGTCCTTGATTTATTCATCCAAATAATATGGAATCATGTCTTATGATTTTACTGACATTCATCAATTTATTTCAGCAAATTCGGCTGTTTCAACACAGGAACAAGCAGGATCAAGCAGTAATGTCAGAAGGAGCGCTCCAGACTACTCATTTGAAAGTAGTAAAACTCCCAAGAAAAAATTGAAGGGTAGGTATTTCTCCATTTTCTATTTCAAATATAATTTTGTTCTCTCTTGAAAAGTCAACAAAATGACTTGAGAACCTTTCAATTCGACCGAGTTAACCGGCAGAAAGGAACCAACCCAATTAAGTTGAAACTGAGGAAAAGAGGTTTGAAGGTTCATTTATGCATAAGGCTGAATGTAGAAAATAAACCTTAACCCCTCTCTTCACAAACTAACTTCTGTTTTTCGACTGAACTATTGATTTTAATCAATAATCGAAAATGACTATTTCTATCGCCAACACTGGCACCGCTGTAGCTCCGGTAAAGTGCCACCGTATGATAGAAAATAAACGAAAACAGGAGGACAGAACTGGAGCAGCGGCAGCTTCCAACACTAACTTGCGGCACGATGACAGTTGAACGGCCTAACTCGAAAAATAACTTTGCGGCTGGCGTGGATTTTGGTTGCCTCAGCCGCGACTGTGCAACTCTGTTCCGCGCTATATTTAAAACTGTCCCGTCTGACAGTGAGCCTGCGCATCAGATTCAAACCCTGAAAACCCTGGACATGGAAATCTCTGGTTAATTTCAAAAATGCTAATGCATACTCAAAATTTGTAGTCGATAGAGGGTGGCTGAGGGTCGAAAGCATGCCGTCAAAAACCTGGACAAATATTCAATGAGTAGGGAACATTGAAGATGGGATTCACGGAAAATTGCTTCAAAATCGACATAGACGACATCAATGGCGTGGCGTGTTTTACAACCTATCGATATTTCCCCATTTGAAGCTGTGGTAAATAATCGATTATTAAAGTGTTCGCTGCGAACACCCTGTTTATCGATACTTTTCCATAGGTTTAAATGACCGAGCAATCGATATATCGCAAAGCACGCCACGCCACTGGACAACATGTGATCGGAGCACATTGACCGAATGAATGAAGAGAGACCAGCGATTTGTATGACCGAACAACCCTCAGGGAAAAGGTTACCTGGACGACCGCCCAAGAGTCTCTCCCGAGGATGATTGAATATTTCATTGCTGTTTTTTTTATCGATTTGACGAGTCCTTAATTTTTAACGTTCTTTTAGATTTTGTAATATTTATGTGAGTTAATGTGCCTGAAACTAGATGACCTGACAAACAAGGCTATGTCCTAGCTATTCGTAGGAGAGGATGAGAATGAAAAAGCAGAAGAAGAAAAAGAAAAAGAATGAGAAGGAGAATAAGGAAAAGAGGAAAGAAGGTGAAAAATAATAAAAAAGAAGAATGAGAAGAAGGAATGGGAGAAGAAACAGAAAAAGCAGAAGAAGAAGAAGAAACAGAAAAAGAAGAGGATGAAAGAGAAAAGAAGAAGAAACAGAAAAAGAAGAGGATGAAAGAGAAAAGAAGAAGAAACAGAAAAAGAAGAGGATGAAAGAGAAACGAAGAAGAAACAGAAAAAGAAGAGGATGAAAGAGAAAAGAAGAAGAAACAGAAACAGAAGAAGAACAAGAACCAAAATTGTACTTAATAAACTTTTGTGTATAATTATTTATATTTCTTTCTCTTTTCACCTGCTTATCGATTCACAGGTAAAAAAAACCTCTTGGACCAATGCCGCGGTGCATTGACTTAAGAGAGCAGTTTCTTGTCGCCGGATTTAGGAGTCTTGAACTCTTGTTTCAAGCGGATTTTGCACTGATTCAATTCAAAATCTGCTTGAAACAAGAGTCCAACCTCTTAAAGACAAGAAACTGCACTCTTGAACCAAGAGGTTTTTTTTTTACCAGTGTTATTTAAGGAACCCATCATCTGAATGAGGGAAACATTTCCCTCGCTGAGATCTGGCAGGAGTGCGCGAGGTGGCGCGCGTCGGGCGCTTAGTCACGTTGACGCGGACTCGGACGTCGGCTGCGGCAGTAACCGCGGAGCCGCACGCGACGCCGGCCATGGCGCCCCTGATACGACGGCCACCACCGGCGCTCCGACTCGGATTCCTCACCCTCGTGGGACTCCTCCTCCTGGCGGGCTCCTGCGCCACCTCCGCCTTCCGCATCCTGGCCGTCTTCCCGCACCCGGCCAAGTCCCACTTCGCCTTCTTCGAGCCGCTCGTCAAGGAGCTCGCCGCCCGCGGCCATGACGTCACCGTCCTCAGCCACTTCCCCCAGCGGAGCCGAACCCCCAACTACACCGACGTCAGCCTCCAGGGCACCGTCCCTCTCATGGACACCCTTACCGTCGCACAGGTGAGCTCCATCATAGTCACACGTACTACACTAAAAAAAGTTACGGAATGTTTAGACATATATACATACCGTCTGTGAATAGGTTTGAACGTATGCGCTGGTAACTTCTCAACCCAAAGCTCCAGCCCCTATTTGAGCTACCTATACCCTTTTCGAAATTAGTGCTTACAAGAAAAGGATAGATTCGGGTCCATAATCTATAATTGAGGGGCTGGAAGATAAGTCGTACATGTGCAGTTTTTGCTGCATGGAGGTACACGTGCTTGAAGTTTCGAAATTACATGGATCTTTATGGCGAGAGGAATGTTCAAACTGGCTTTTTGATGCTTTAAAATTGGAATTCGAGAGCGAAACTTTCTGAGAATATGCATTATGATTAGCTTAACTTGAGATCGTAAATAACTAAAATCTTTCAAAAAATGCACTTACTTGCACCATCCTCTAAACCCCTCAATTGATCTTATCAAATCCGAATGAATTTGCACACACAAGTAAGACCACTCCCTCCCCCTCTTTCGATTTTAATTTCGGGTGCGCCGTTACATTGTTTGAAACAGTCGTCAATTGGACTGGTTCTTTTCTGCCCCACAGGTGCAGCATTTGACCCCAATCTCGGACTTCCACGTGATCCACACCATAGGTCTGGAGTCCTGCAAGCCGATCCTGACCTCGCCGCAGGTGGAGTCCTTCCTGGCGAAGGAGCAACGCTTCGACCTCTTCCTCAGCGAGGCCTTCACGACCGACTGCTTCCTGGGCTTCGCGCACCGGTTCAAGGTCCCGACGGTGGCCCTGTCCTCCGCGGTCCTCTTCTCGACCGTCAACGACCGGTTCGGGAACCCGGCGAATCCGGCGCACGTGCCCAACCCCTTCCTCGGCTACGGCTCCCGCATGACGTTCACCGAGCGGCTGTTCAACACCCTCGCCGACCTGTACATGTCCTGGGCACGCTCCTACTACTACGACTCGCCGGCCAACTGGATCGCCAAGAGGACGTTCGGCAGGGATATGCCGAGTCTCGACAAGCTGGCCAAGAACACCAGCTTGGTTCTGGTCAACAGTCATTTCAGTCTGCATAGGCCCCGGCCTGCGGTTCCTGCTGTCGTCGAGGTTGGCGGCTTGCATATCAAGCCGGCGTCCAAGCTACCCAAGGTAACCTAATATAACTCTAAACATCATAATCTCATGGACTTACTGATCGATAGAATATTCATAGCATGGATCCAAATTTCCTCAAGGGCGATTTTTTTTCCCTTCGAATAGTCTTTGAGGCGTCAGTTTTTTAGGGGCCTTCCGATACAATTTCTATTGTAGATACATGAGCTCATACTATCTGAAAATTATATATCTGCGGTCCCGAATAATCTCCCTTATCATTAGATTCTCGACGGTGTAGGTCCGCGACCACGTATCTCCGTTGCGAATAACGAACGGACGCGTATAAATCTTACTTTGTCCGTCTTGTCAAACTTGATTTCAAGAGAAAATTTCTGCCCGGATGAGCATTTCCCCTCTTATACACTGAATTTTAACGCGCAAAAATCACTAACTCAGTGTCCAAACGACCAGTGCGTCGAATCGTAATGTGCTCGTAATCATAGTTTGACTGAGAAAGATGTAAAATAAGAACGAATAATAATTTGTCTATTCCAGAAGAAATTTAAGCAACGGAGAGTTAGAGAGACTGCATCAGACACAAAGATATATATATATATATATATATATGGTACCTGTAAAGTCGCACGTCGAAATTAATGATTAAATTCGAAACGTTACATATACGAGTAGACGACGATCTTCTTTACACTACAGTAGAGATAGCCGACCCAAAAGCAATATTTTAAACGTGTTGATGAGCATCGGTGTCATCTTTTATATTCGGATCGTATCGTGAGAAACAAACTATACTTGCACAAAGGGATGGCTCTTCCGAGAAACTAACAGCAGAAAAATAGTGCATGAAAGTAAATAGTTTGAGCTCTATTATTCAAAGTTGTGAAAACGTTTGCGTATATATAGCCGCCAAAAAACACTCGTGGTACCGTTTGTCGCATTGTTCTACAGAAGTTCCCGCAAAATAAAACGGTCTTACTTGATGAGTCATAAAAAATGTGTGGCCGAAAACAGCTCGTCTACAGTTTAATATGCATTAAGCAAGAGCGGATGAGAATAAAAATAAAATGTTTAAAATGTTGCCACGCCGCTTTGAAGTTATGCCAACATCTTCTGGAGACCCAGCCTCGCCTACCTGAGCATATCGGTGGTGAGGTTTGGAATTTGAGCAATGCGACAAGATGGTCTGTTTTTCTTCGTTCGAAAATAATGAGAACTAACTTTAGGACATTTTTAGTTGAACGGCAAAATATTTTTGACGTTAATTTTATTAAATTTCAATACAGTCGATGACAATGGAAAAATAGCAATACCGTACTTGTAGCGTACACATTTGTTGTGACGCATTTCCAACGTCATTTCAACTATTATTTTGGCCATCTCTGGCGTGCTTTTTTTGGGAACATTCTCTCACCCTTTCTCAGCTGAATTAATCCATAACAACAAACATTCAACAGGGAACGAGAATTTATGAGTTGAATTGAGAGTTTAGATCAAATACCAAAGATTATGTGAGGGGGGTCAGAATATACACGGGAATGAAGAGATAAATTGAAATACGCGCCACCGACAGGTAATAAAGGTGTGATCAAAAATAAAGGTTCTGGTAAATGCAGAAAAAAAAGTGAACAGAAAAAAGATAATATAGCCTCTCGTTTTCATGTCTTCAGGAGTGTCAGGGATTTTTTTTTGTTTTTGTAATAGCCACTATAAATCCCAAGTCAGGTCAAATGATCTTGCGACTATCTTTTCTGGGGGAGTTCTGGTGCTGTTATACATGAGAGCTTCGAAAGTAGGTCTACAATACATCTTTTAAAAAATAATCAGACATTTAATTGAAAAAAAGAAAAAAATCGAGTGTGAACACAGCCGAAGACAGGAGAGACGTAATGGGGCCTGGTTCATTAGTTTTTCTCCCGTATCTGAGCGACACCTTGTGCTGCATAAGGTGGAGCATTGCAAGTTCTCGCCTCGCGCCATCGCGCCTTCAATTTTGCAGATACAACACGGACATCCATTAAGATAAAATAGTTGTATCTCTGCGCCGTCATCAACGCACGCCCACTTTTCGCTCTATTTCTATAATGTGTTGGTTTCCGTTTGTCTTACTATCAAAGGTGCTTATTCAAGAGCTACTTGAGCAACACTGCCGTCGATAGGAAAGACGTATCGGGCCTCGTTTCTTAGCTTTTCTCTCAAATCGAAGCGACACCTCATTGGTAACTTAGAACGGAGTCTTGCGAGTTCACACCTCAAGATCGTACATTCAATATGGCAGATGCAACGTAGTCAACCATCAAGCATGATTACTCAATAGTTGTATGTTTGCGCCGTTATCAATGCGCGTTAAGGGGTCTCTGATTTTTTACATTAGAGGCTACATTAACTGGGCGCGCCGCTTAGGCAAACCTCACAAAAATCCCCGACCTATCCTACTTCCCCTTACAACAAACTTGAAGAAATGGCAAATCTTGGAAAGTGGCCCTAAGTTGAAAGGCTCTGACTAATACTTGTCCCGAAGAAAGACAATTTTTCTCAAAGTATGTTATGATGTGTCCAAATCAATAATTATTTATGGGGAAAAAACCTTCGTAGAGGTCTCTCGAATGCTCTGAAAGTTCTACGTCTAAAAATCTGTATTTTGGCAAGAGTTGTGTCGTGTCAGGGATTTTATATTGGGCGACTGCCCCTTAGAAATCCCGATCCGGATTTGACTGAACCGACTGTTTTGGGGGGGGGGGGGG